CGGCTCGTGATTGGATACATTTTGTGGTCAAAGAATGGCTGGATAAACACATTTCATTTCCTATTAATTCGTCACAACAAAAGTCCAGCAGAAACCAGCTCTAAAAACAATACGGACATTATCATCTCATAGAGTTGATGTAGCTAACCTTATTTAACTTCCTTATTTACACTTCCAGCAGATACAGAGCAACATTGCCGTTCATTTGTAGTCATGTTTGTGTCCACCTGATGAATCCAAGTACAATATTCAATCTCCTTTTAGCTCTGTTTTGGTCTCAACCAAATATCTGGATCTTTAGATGCTTAGCCTTCTTGTGTGCTCTTTTCCTCTTCAAGTACAGCATCTCATTGCATTATTCATTACTGTGCTTTGTTCCTAAAAGAACATGTTGACAAACATGTTAACTCATTTAATAAATTATACACTAAATATGGAAAAGACACCAGTCCCCATCACACCGATGTCACATTTCTGTCTTGTTTACTGGCACCTCATTAACCTTCAGTTCCCTTCCTATTGTCTCACAATGCCGCCATGTTATAGAATAACTGGTGTATAGTGTCCCTGATCATTTCCTATAAAGAAAGAAAAATTCTTGCTTGCTGCTGGATTGCTGGCAATGTACCCAATTAGTCTAAAGCTCTCTTGTATGTCCATATTAACTAGTTGCTAACTTTACTTGCATCATTTGTTGGCGAGTAGTCATGTCATCCATTGTTGATATAAAAATCCATTGTTGACACTTTGTGTAGCGTCTTCTCTCTCTCTTGCCAACTCTAAGGGCTACAGAGTTGTGATTGATTAGTATGTTTACAGCTGAGAATGAATAAAACGATATGTTTACAGAATACAATTTGAAAACATCAATCATTGCAGTCTGTTGTTTTAGTCTGTATCTAAACCAGGCAGCTGGAGCCAATGCAGTTTCTTAAACTTGCATTTACTCTAATGGCCAGCAGGGGGCGACTCCTCTGTTTGCAAAAAGAAGTCAGATTGTATGAAAGTCTATGAGGAAATGAGTCTACTTCTCATTAATTGATCACCTCAATAAACATGGTAAACATGAGTTTATGGTTTCAAGTCTTCTACAATACAGCACGATGTTCATCCAGTAAATGTTGGTCCCATTTAGAGTAAAATAGACCATAAAGCGGATTATGTTTTAGGGTGGGCTTACTGTGATTGACAGGTCGCTGGCAGAGCCGTATACGGCGTTTCTACGTCACTCCGCCGCAGTCTAAATATGGTAACTTCCGTTCACTGGTTGCAAAAGCCAAGATGGCGATGGCCGTAATTCAAGATGGCGACGGCCAAATTACAAGAGGCTTCAAACCAAAATCCACAAACCAACGATGTGATGTCCTGATATCTAAAACAGTGTCTCAGCATGCTGTAGTATAGATCATAGAGTGGATATACTCTATGATCTATACTACAGCATACTGAGACACTGTTTTACCCATCTTGACTTGTCTAAAATATCCTGCATTATTCTCATTGTCAGAGACAGCAAAGCCATGATAAATGTGCCAAATTATATTTTATTAGACACTTATTCAGAAAGAAAATAGACATTTCTGGGTTAAAGTTATAAGAGATGAATAGTGAGGAGCAAGACTGGGCCAGAAAAGAAATGTCAGCTTCATGTTGTTTGACCAGTTTTTGGACAACAGTTTATTTATGACCTAAATGTTAATAATGTCAACAGCGTTACCAACACTGTGGGCTGTTAGGAATTCTTTGTGCCATCTTCTATGAGCCTCAGAATATTTTCATGTTGTATCTGAAAAACGGAAGCCTTGTATCTTGCTTACTTATGCCTTTGTTGACTAACCCAGTTTTCAACCGCATAAATTATGACAAAGCACATACAAAGGGCGCACACTGGCGACCAGTGTATCTGTGTCAATGTGCACAATGACGTGGGAGTTCTCATCAGTACCTATTCTGTTGTTGGATAACACATTTCTGGTGAAATAATCTTAATTATATAATTACCTGTGTCATTGAAGGAGAATCATACCGTACACAGGCAGGAGTTGCATCACCCAAAAGCTAAGAGTTAGTGTAAATGTGTCTCAGCAACAAACATTAACAGTTGAATGAGATAAAAGACAATATATTTTTTAAATGCAAATGTCCTCATATTGCATTGTGGAAAAATATGTGTATTAATAAGGGGCTGAATATTAAATCTCACAACATGATCCAATCTCTGCACTGATCAAACGCTGGATCTGTTAATGGGAAGAACATGACTGCGATATGAAGGAGAATGTTTTGGTTGGCAGAAATCATGTTTTGTCCCATATGAAACTCGTAATGAGCAACTGCTAATCAAAACATGCATGTCAAGTGTTTTCAAAAAGAAAGGCTCCACTGGCTGAGGAGAGGAACATGTTCGAGCCACGGTGTCCAAAAACACACTGATGCAAGAGTGGAAATAGATCATCCGCTCTTCAGGGCTCTGAAGTTCACCCTACTCACGGTGCAGAGACTCGTGAGTTTGTCTGACGAGTCATTAAACTGTGTTTCAGTTGAATTATCTGCAATTTTCACATGACCTTCAGCTTTAATAAGACTCAATTGGGGATGTGGGGAAAAAAAACATTGCATACTTCACTTTCCTTTTTTTTTTTACTTAAACCATATGATGTAAAATATGTTTTTACTAAATCACAATGTTGTAGACTGACTGTAGACAAAGATATATGACAATGATATATTGAAATACTGACTCCTGCATTATTGCACTTTTTTTTGAAAGCATTATTAAAAAACAATCCTTTTTTTTTTAAATACAAGGATTAAAATTCAGAGAGGAACATATGCTGTGTTAATGCTACGGTAACTCACTGGGTGACATATTACTGTACTGTATTTAATATAGATGTTGTATATTCTGTGTGCTTGTGAGTCTTTTGTGTTCAGAGTTTTGCAAATTGAAACCATAGACTGAAGTGGACGTAGTCACTGCGGCGTCACCCGTTGGTTTGTCGACTGCTGTTTTGAAGTCTGAAGTTTGGCATTTTGGACGTCACCATCTTGGTTTTTGGCCGTTGCCATTTTGGTTTTTTTGCAACCAGAAGTGACACCAAAGGGTTGGGCTAAGTACAACCAAATGTTGAACAAGACATTTTTAGGTGACCAAAAATGTTACAATTTACTTTCATGACCTGAAAACACGCTGTGAAAGCGTTAAAGTCTTAAAGACAAAAACACAAATAACTCCCAGACCGGACAATCGCGTGGTATCGAGCTGTCAATCAGAAGGTAGTCACGCACTAAAGCATACACTACTTTATCGTCTATTGTACTCTAAATTGGACCATAATTTACTAAATGAACATATTGAAGAAGACTTGAAGCTGGCAATTGAGACCATAAAGTCATGTTCACTGAGTTAATAAATCAAGTGAGAAGTAGGGTCATTTTCTCATAGACTTCTATACAATCAGACTTCTTTTAGCAACCACAGGAGTCGTTTCCCTGCTGGCTTTTAGAAAGAATGCAAGTTTAAGGCATGTCAGCATTAGCTTCACTTTTGAGAACAAGAGGTTGCCGCCTGCCGCCTCTCTGTTTCTCTGACAAATCCTATTTTGTATTTAAAAAGGTACTTAATTGTTGTGTTCTTATAGTACTGGAAATATAGTTGCTTTCCCCATAATTTCAGTGTTAGGTTAATTAATATTGCATTAAATCAACACACTATACTGTGAGGAGAACTCTAAAATCTTAAATTATGTTTCTCATTCCACTTGAAGCCAAAGTAATTACACTTTCCTAATACAAAACCACAGGATGACTCCCTCTTCTTTTCTCCCTCTTGTAATCCAGACTGCTTTTTTTTGTTTTTACATTTTCCTTGTTGGAAGTTCCTTTCTCCATGTTCAGCTGTATTTCAATAGAAGAAGCAGGTGAGCAGCTCATTATTTTTAGGCTGAAGTAAGTGACCGGCTGTTGACACGCAGAACTGTGTGTCGGACAAAGCAGCCAGTTAGAGGGGAAGTATTGTTCGGGGCAGCCGGCAGAGGAAGCTGGCTCAGACACTTTCAATGAGCACTCCGCCGTCTCACCCAGCTATCTGATTTTCCCTTTCCTGACCATGTCCCTCTGAACTTACTGAGAAATAACCCATCAGCAGAGTTTACTGTTAGCAGTCTTCTGTCCAGTACTAAAATAGATTTTCTTAGACAATAGTTTTCTCAACCCCAAGACTATAAAAAGGCACAATTACCTTTGCTTGGTCACGCCTTGAAAGAGAAAGACGGGCAAGAATGAAAGCTCTTCTGTAGAACACATATAATACAAACACACTTCTTGTATTACTGTACCCGTGAGGACCTTAATTCCTCCATTATTGAAAACATTTGAAGATAATGAGGTAAATAAAGAAATTAGGCCCTCAGAAAAATAGTTCGGCAATAAAAGTAAGTATTAAATTGTTTAAGCTGTTTGGAGAAACCTAATGAATAGTTTATGTTTTTTTGTCTTGTATTTTTACAATGTGGTATTGCTAATTTTACTAGTAAAGGACCTGATCGGCCAAATCATTCATTCAGGTCATTTTGGAATTTACCGACAGATATGGGGGCCAAGATATGTTGAACCAAGTTTTAAACTTATTTTATATTAAAAGGCAAGGCGAGGTGTCCTCACTTAAGGGGATTATTCTGTCTATGTGAGAACGTCTGGTTCTCTTCACAACTATTGAAAAATAACACACACACAAACACTCCCCAAAACCACACACACTCACTCCTTCAAACACCCTGACTGAGCACAAAGACATTTAAGATTTGTGAAGTTACTCAGTAGCTGTAACGATCACACATGTCGTTCAGTCAGAGAGGAAGTAGTCCGGAGGAAAATCAGTGTCGAGAAGTCTCCCCATCCTCCCACACGTCTCGTTTCATTGGCTGAGAGGCGTGATGTCACAGAGTGGACTACCCTATAAAAAGTCACTCTCCCACACAGACGGCAGACCAGCTGAGAGCTCACTTACAGCAAGGAAGACAACTCTGTAACACATTACGTACTTTACAAGTAACTGTCAAACCCTTTGGAAATATCCACCAGCGAGCTGCAAAATATCTCATCATGTGCAGAGGACTTGAATCACTGCCTACCACCTGCCTGGAGAGGTGAGATCCATTTTTCTTGTCTTGGAGGAAAATGTATTATTCCTGTACTTCTAGGCTATGACAGCTGGATTTAAATGTTCATACTAAGTCCTGTTGTAACAATCCTTCTTTATCTTTGCAGGGCAAAGGAGCTGAAAGCTTTGTTTGCAAGTTTACTCCAAAAGTCAGATCACAGCATCACTAGCCAGTCAAAGAAAAATGACAAACTGAGGTAAGACATACATTCAAATTCCCTCTTTAAGATATGTCCGTTAAATCAAAGTGGACCTCTGTAATTTCTAGAACTTTTCCTAATGTTTTTCTGTTGCTGCAGGTTAAACGCGGACGAGCCTTTAAAATGGAAGGAGTCGTTTGACGACTTGTTGTCCAGTCAAAGTAAGAGCGATCCTCAACCTCACACTTGATGCAAACGTTTCACTCATTCAAGATGTTTTTGAGATGTTAACCTACCACTCTCTCCACTCTCTCCTGCTTCTAGATGGACTTTGCCTGTTCAGAGCGTTCCTGCACTCACAGTTCAGTGAGGAAAACATCGCATTCTACTTGGCTTGTGAGGACTACCGGGAAACAAAACCTTCAAAACTGGCCGCCAAAGCCAAGCAAATTTACGACGAGTTCATCGGCTCTGATGCATCACGAGAGGTAAATATAAAAACAGCCTATCTAGACTATTTAGGATGCTCTGTTAATCTGCTGGCTTCCCTTGTCTTGCTATGAGGATCTGATAATCACATCTCTACCTCCTCTGCTCCCCTACAGGTAAATCTTGACCATGTGACCAAAGCCATCACAAAGGAGAACATGGAGCATCCCAACCTGTCCTGTTTCAATCTGGCCCAAGCCAAAATCTACACCCTGATGGAGAAAGACTGCTACCCTCGCTTTTTAAAGTCCCCCACATTCCTGGAGCTCAGCAGAAAGGTCAAGACAGGCTAACAAACTGTACTTAAAAAAAACTCTCCTGCAAGCAGCAGACAGAAAGGGACATAAGCGTACTGACGCACAGCAGAGTCTGGAAAAGTTCACACGGAACAAATACCTCAGTCCACGGAGATTCACGCCCGGTTGTGGTGTTATTTTGGGGACCGGAGGTTGCATACAGATCTGCGTCCAAGCTGGAAGCTGAAGGACACGTGAAGCTTTGAGGACAAGACTGACTCAGACTGTGCTGCAGACGATGTCTGCCTCTGAAAGAGACACCTGTACTGTACCAGACAGGGCTGCATGAATTATAAAATGCAGATAGACAGAAATTAGTTGCTTTCATACGACAAATCTACCGCTGGCTCAATGGCATTAGTGTTTATTTATTTATTATTTATATATTTATTTATTATTATGTGGTGAAAACTGATCAGAATTTCTTTTTTTTTTTTTTATCTGAAGTACTGTATGTAATAATGAATAAAATATGACCAATTTCCAGAGACAAGAGAGTACCGTTTTGTACCATGGAAAACTCCCTACACATACAGAGAGGGGTATGTGGTTAGTGTGGTCAGACAAATGTAGAAGAAAGGAAGAAGAAGAGTTGCTCATGTGTGCCGTTATAGCTGCTAACTAATCTGTGGCCTCAGTGGTTCCACTTCACATGTGGGTGTGTGGATGACTCTTTTTCTCTACAGTTACAGTGAATGGAAGACATGGAGTGACTGTGTGTCAGTTCTTCTGCTTTTATCAACAAAAGAATGTTCATGATGGTGGTGAGAAGGAAAGAGTAGGTCATATTGGGCGGTGTTCAATTAGGAGGTATTGAACTTAGATAGAATGACAGCTTCTGTAATAAATAGATTACTTTATTATTCAGGGGACGCTAGTCGGACAGGTCTCAATAGACAACATCATTTATAAAAGACAACAATTACAATACTAACACACATGCTAAGTTAAAAAAAAAAAATATATATATATACATACATACATACATACATACATACATACATACATACACACACACACACACTAGAAAAAGTAGAGATGTTCCTGATACATGAACTTGGATACCGGCCAATAGCAAGTATATTTGCCGGTATGTATATACGATAAATATGGCGCTACAGCTAGCAGCTGGCTAGCTTAGCACAAACACTGGAAACAGGGGGAAACAGCTAGCGTTAGATGTGCTGGTGGGTTTAGCCGGGCTAGCTGTTTCCAGTTGTTGTGCTAAGCTAAGCTAAGCTAACCAACACATTTACAAACAAGAGAGTGGTATCAATCTTTTTTTTAAGATGATTAATTTGGGCTTTTTTGCCTATATTTGAAAGTGCATCTGTAAAGGGGATGAGCGATGATGCCATGCAGCAAAGGGCCACGGGTTGGACTCGAACCTGGGCTGCTGCGGTTAGGACTTAGCCTTAGTTAAGTTAGGGCAGAAGTGCAAGGCAGTGAAATTCTATTGATGCGCATATCCAAAATACAAGATCATATTGCTGGGAAGCATCGGAGTGTGCATGGCCGGTTTCCATGAAGACACAGGCAGGTTTGTTTACCTAGCCACAGCTCACAGCCTGAGAGTCACAGCAGCCTCCCCTCCTTTTTGTAAATCAGCCCCTTCCCTCCATTCTCCTGCCGTCTAATATGACCACCTCCTCACCGCTCTCCCCCTCCTACGCTCTCCTACAGCCGACTTCTGTTCAAACACTCAGGCAAGGAGGCCTTGTTCAGGCAAGGATGAAGTCATTAACACCGCTCATTACACTCTTGGATAATGACAGAGGTTATCTTTCCACTCCATCCGTCATTCTCTCTGTCACTTTCGACCAGTAGTGATGTGTAATGAGGCCTCTACTGGACATACAGTACACTAATTGGAATTCATTGAAGAAACACTGATTTGTTTTTTTCGCTCAGCAGATGGACTTGACTTATAATTGTCACTTATAATCTTTGCTGTACCAGCTGTTGTTACACACATATTGTTGATACAAGTTTGCTTTTCACTTTGACTCCAGCAGTCTCTTTGGGCAGATGTTCACGATTCATGTCTAATTATATCTCCCAAACATCAGAATATACATTGGAAAAGAAAAGAGGCATGTGGAGACCTGACCAGGTGCGGCTGCAGGAGGGTGGCCAGGGCCTGTTTTGTTTCCATGTAACTTTATATTGCGTTATCATGAAGGCGTAGTCTAGACGTTTTTGAGATGAATAAAAACACAGATAACATAAAAATCCGAGAGCGACAGAGAAGGAGAGAAAAAAAGATTGAGATTCTTGTTAAAGCCTGGAGGAAAATAGGTTCACTTTGGCGTGGATCAACTTGGATCAACATAAAAAAACAGTACCAAAAAGACATCCGATTGTATGTAAGTTTAACTTGATTCATGACCCCAGTAAACATGGTGAACGTGAGTTTATGGTCTCAATCAATGGTTTCAAGTCTTCTTCAACACAGCATGATGTTCATTTAGTAAATCATGGTCCCAATTAGAGTAAAATAGGCCGTTAAGCAGGGTTTGCTTCAGGGTGTGGCTAACTTTTGATTGAAAGGTCGCTACCAGAGTCGAATACAGCGTCTCTACCCCGGCATCACTCCTCCTCAGTCCAAATATGGTCACTGCCTAGACTGGTTGCAAAAAACCAAGATGGCAACGGCCAAAGCCCAAGATAGCGAACCTGAGGCTTCAAAGCCGTAGTCCACAAACCAATGTTTGACACAACGACTACGTACACGTCCGTGTACATAGAAGAAAATTTATCTATTGTGAAGCTGAGCTGTGCATTGATGTGTCATGTGTGTAACCGCATACAGGTGGATGGAGAAAAGAACTTTGAAATGAATAAATTACTGGTGAATCATCTTTAATTTAATGCCAGTCAGAGCGTGACTGCACTTTTAGCTCATTTCCTGTGCTTTGCTGCCTTTTTCATTACTTTTCTCAGCTATGAGACGTTATACAAGATGTTTTATCTGTTTGTCAAATACTAGAAAAGCGTACCATCTAAATATTAGCTATCCATCGTCTTCATTCTTTTTTTCAATCCTAACACACATGCAGTCAGCAGTGGAAGAAATAATGTTCATACAGTAAAAGAAACCCTAAGGCTTTTACTCACCGGGGGCGTGACAAATAAACAACATGAAAATGCTAAATATTTGCCTGTGAATATTATTTGTCTGGGGCTTTTATTGTGAAAGATAAGAACGGAGGGAGGTGATCTGGTGCGCGCTGCCTTTGTCAAGGTTGAATGGAGTAATTAAGTTTGCTGTCTTGGTTCGGACTACAGAGCCTCTGTTGTTGTTTCATAAATATAGACACGTGTCAACACTTCTTACTTAGCTTGATTAGTTGATGCCTATATTTGTGCTACGAGAGCTCAGAAAAATCAATGTTCTGAAAAAAGTATGCCACTTTTCACTGAGTAATATTCACCTTCTGTGTGAGAGTATTCATGAATAAACAGTTAAAAGAAATTTGATTGTAAAAAACGCACCCGTGTGTATAAAAGCCTTCACATGTATAAGGAGGAGGACTCAGGACTCAAAGCGTTCCAAACAAAGATCATGAATTATCTTTATGACAAACTCCCATTAGTAGGTGAAGAATGAACATAACGTCTCTGTGATTGTATTCATTTAAGGGTTTTTTGTTATATATGAATAATACATAGGTGATGACATTAAGGACCACACAGTTAAAATTTAAAATGATGTCCAAACACTATTGACAAACATGAGGAATGGATACACCAGTAACCCACCAAGACATTATCAAGATATGAGCAGAGATTCATCTATCTGGGGGGGAAACAGTCCCATAAAGGGAATATGCTAAGCTGATAAAAACAAAATGTATGCGTGGAATATAGAGTGGGAGACATGTCCATTTCCAGGTTCCATTAAATCAACTTTGACAACACTGGTTGTCTTCAGTGTTTTCCACTGTTGACTTTCAGTAAATCTCTTTAGTCATTTTAACAGATAATCACAAATTAAGATAAATAAACTGGAATTTTAATTTGTTTTACTTTTAAATGAACATCTTGGAAATCTACAAAACTGGAGCTCACCTTAACTATTTTTAACTGCTGGAGTTCCTTCTGGAAAAAGACAAAGTAACTATCTGCCAAGTCAAACTATCAAAAAAGGAGTCACGGCATGCTTTTGATAACCACTCAAAGTAACACAGAACTTAGTATTGTAATGGAAACCTGATGAATAAAACTTATCAGGAACATACGAAACACTTCTATGTGAATGTTTTTCCAAAATTCTGTTTTGCTGTAAGGCTGCATTTTTAAACCTAAAACTGGATATAAATCCTTAACTTTACATAAATCTAAATCCTTGACTCAAGTCCAACAAGGGACCTGTGTTGCATATCATTTCTCCTCTTTCTTTCTCCTTTCATGACAGAATTGATGTTGCTTCTCACCTTTAAATAAAGTCTCTGTCCAACTTATTATACTAATGTAAAAAAACAAATACAACAACCTGGCGTTGACTGAACCCTCTCTCTCTATTCTCTACTGAGAATACATTAATTCACTATATTTCTACATAGTGAATAGTTGTTTGCTGCTATTTTAATGATCAAATTTAGCACCTTTAAAAGTTCATTGCTCTGTAAACAAGTGGACTTGCATTATTATGCTATTATATTATCATTATATCAGACATAAAATGGTCTTAAAATGACAATAATGTTTATTGCAATTATTTCTTGGACAATATATCGTCCCAGAAATATACAAAAGTAGTTATCGTGACAGGTCTGCAGACGCAAAACAACTCAAGACGATAACAAAATGACTGACTATACTGCCCAATCAATTTCTGTGACAGACTGGGTTTTACTGTGATGTCTTTATTCATTTGTTTGAAGTCAGACGTATAATCTCCATTTTCAAGTTTTAACTATATTCCAAATAGCCGTACTGTGTTTTACACTACAAAAAAAAAGATCTTTTGTAAACATTCAGGATCATCAAGTTGTACAGTCCATAGTGTAAACACAGGCACGTCTCACACCTGGATGAACTGGCATGTTTTTCATACATGAGAGTTTCTGAAGCACGGATCGGTTTCAGTGCTTTGGATGAAGGTCCACAATGTGGAGCTCTGTGGAACGGTGGATCTGGGCACCTACTTCACTGGCAGAAATGACTCAGCGTTCCTGATTTAAATACATATTTGTGGTGCGAGTGGTGATTAATAGTGTTGCCAACGGTGCTTGAACTTGGAAGCAAGGCGTAAAAACAAAGAGCTGCAGGCATGGTTACCGGGTTGCCAAGGGAACAAACCCAGCACAGCTGAGTGGTCCCATCCACTCTAAAAAGAAAAACTCAACTGTCAACAAGAGCTTGGACTCATTTTCATTTACTTTGGATGGTAAATTAAAAAGTAAATAGGCTGTTACCACAAATACGCTCTTTTGTGTCCGCTTGCTGAAAATAGCATCTTGTCAGGTCTCAAAAACACTTCAAAACACTGGAATGAGACATGAGAATAGAGCAACATCTGGTCTGCATTAACTCATGATGCCATATGAAGAGCCATGCACGGCACATAATGATGACTCACCTCTGTGAGGTAAAGTCACATATGTTTGCTCTTATTTTAAATTTCTAGGAAAAAATGATGAGGAGCCTGAGGAGACGTAGTTTGAATTTTCTCAGTAGACATCCTCGATTGGTGCTCTCTGGTTTCTACTACAGTTCAGAGACATGCAAATCAGATGGACCGAAACGGACTGCCAGCTTAACCAAAGGTATGGAGGAGGATTGTTGTCTTTCCAGGGTGTTTCCCCCTCTTGAAGTACACTCATATCGGCTGATTTAAAAAGGTTATAAAGGCAGTTTTATACAAAAAATAAATAAAACACAAAGAAAGTGCACTAAGGATGAGTTGAAGTATGTCTTTGTGAGAGTGTGACCCATATGAAACACACTGTGGTGTTAACTGTGATCAGATGTTCCTTCTTTGTAATTAATTTGAGAACATTCTGCTGATAGAGATTTCAAGAAACTTCCTCGTGAAGTTCATGTCAAAGCCCCATCTTCCCAGGGAAATCAGCTGACGAGACGTTTCTAGTCACAAGACCACAAACCTCTGAAGTGACCTCTGCCACATTAATATGCATGCTTTAAGGTGAGTAAATCTTCCACTGATATGACAGTTTAATGCAAAAAAAAGCACTTCCCAGCATGTATTTGTCTGTTCCGTTTACTATTTCTTTACCTATTAGTAGGATGCATTTGACTTGAGTCAATGTTGAGAACGCTTAAAAGTTTTACAGTCATATAACATTATGTTGGACAACTCCAGACATTAATCAAACCCTAATGGAGTGATACAGCTAAAAGCATTAGGATCCCAAGCAGATTAGTTAAGTGGGAATTTAAACAGGACTGAAGAGTTGAGAACGGCCGCAAAGTAAATGTGCAAACAGTCAAACTGAGGCATGTTGATATTTTGGGAAATACGCTTAATCTCTCTGTTGTCCGTACGTAAATATGAGGCTAAAGCCAAGAGACGGTTAGTGTAGCTTTAGGGCTGTACCCAAATCAGAGGTTTTTGATTCAAATCAAATTTGGCTAATTCATTTTTTTATACAGATTATCTGGCAATTAGAAAAACCATTGGCGTGAGATTTAGTGATGGTTCAGACCACATTCGCAGCATTACATTATCTTCCTCAACTTGAGGAATTTAGATTCTCCTAGGGTCACTGTCGGATGATTTGACTCATTGACTTTCAGACGGGCAGTTCTACTTAGCTCAGCATAAACAGGACCTTTGTTCAAAGGTAACAAAATCCACCTATCAGCACCTCTAAAGCTCACTAATTAACCCACTGTATAGAGACACACCAATGGATCGGCTGCCAGTCGAAACTGGCAGGTTTTCAGCTCATCGGCCGTGACCGGTGACTGGCCGGTGAGTCTCGTACTTTTTTGCAGGGCATATTTACATATATTTTTTGTTTTCATCTAGCAGCATGCCTCTATGATTGGCAATGTCAGTCAGTTGGTCTGCAACTTTGGTCCAGACTGAATTATCTTAAGAATTATCAGATGGACTGACATGGAATTTGCATTCATGGTCCACAGAGGATGAAGCATACGGACTTTGGTGATCCCCTGACCTTTTCTTTAGCGCCACCACGGGTTTGACATGCGTGGTTCTGAGTGAAACGTCTCGACAACTACTGGATGGATTGCTGTGAAATTTCGTACGCACATTCAGACTTCCATACAATCAGGAGTCTCCCCCTGCTGGCTATTAGAACGAATGCAAATTCATGGCACTTAAGCATTGGCTTTGATTTTCAGACCCAGAGGTTGCTGCCTGATGCTCTTTCATGTCTCACTGTGACATGAAGCCACTAAACTACAGCCTTACTTAGCCACTAGTGGCTGTAGACTATTAGCCTTTTTAAAATAAAATCAACCCTTCAGATTTTAACAGAGGTTAATGTGACAAAAGACAAAATTGTGAAGCACCAAAAATGTGATTTGTTCACTTTAGAATCATTAATATGGAGTTAGGGACAGGAAAGGGTGTGTTGCAACATGACTGGGCTTGTATTCATGCTGTATTTTTTGAGAGAGAAACAAGAAGATGCACCTTCATTGGGCGCTCACAACCAAATCAACAGCAGGTGAGTGATTTAAAACTCACTTGGACACAAGAAGCTACCACTCTTCTCCATAGAAGTGCTGCATCACACATGAAACCAAATTAAGTGTCAACAAGTGATAGCCGAGTCACCAGCGATTGTAGCGGCATCGTAGATCGTACATCACTCAAGCTGCAGGAAGAGGATGCAGCAAAGCGAGACGTCAGTTACTTGAAAGGAGCCAAACACAGTGTTTCTGTTCTGTCAATGTGTGAATTCGGAGTACATTTTGTCCCAAGAAAAAAAGAAAGAAAACAAGAGGCCATATGCTTGTATCCCAAAAAATACAAAGTGATGGAGGTGATTTTCTGAAGTGACAGAGCACTCTGTTCATTTGGAGCTTAATGGCGTCTCTCTGGGCTTTACACTGAGGTGGAGAGTACAACAATCACACTGAGCGGTTCCTGACACAGGTTAACGAAAGAAGAGCAGCACAAAATGATAAAGAAGGACAAAGAGAACGAAAAGGAGCACACCAAGTACATAAAAGTGGGTGTTTGACTTTGTCTCCTCTTGTTGGTATTTTGCTGTTGTCCTGTAAAATTCAAAAGAGCTCTGTTGCCACCTGCTGGAGAGATGACTGAAGCTTGATCAGAAAACAGGAAAAAAGTGTGAGAGGAACAAGTGAGAGGAACACAAAGGCGAAGGTTTCCTGAACAAAACGTATTTTCTACAGTCTGTGGGTGAAACACTCCCGTACCTCAACACAGAAAATGAACCGTACATGCCAAGTGTATACAGCTAGAGTGATTATTAAAGAAGACACTGGTCAATGTGAAAGACTTTGTTAGACTGCTATAATCATAAAATCACCAGTTCCCCTCAGATCTACAGGGCTTTTTTAGCATCTTTCAATTCACCGTTTTGGTTTTAAGGTCCACAGATTTACTGTTCTGCTTTTAACAGCCTCTTATCTAGCAGGCAGCTGTTTTAACCAATAAGACCTCAACACCTCACCTACGCTACCTAAACAACACCAAACAGCAGACAAATACTGTTAGCAACTAGCGGTTGAACATAGTGGAGCATTTAGCATCTACAGAGCCAGATATTGCCCTCAGGAGTTGACGGAGAGCTGGAGGGGAGTAAATATTAGACTTAAATTCATCAGGTGGAAGTAAACACAACTTCAAATGAATGCCAATGTTGCTCCATATCTGCTGGATTTGGGAACAGGCAACTGTGTCCGGCTGCTGTTTGGTGCTGAGCGGGTTTGGTGTATATTTGGGTTTGTTTCGGCTTTCTTTATTGCAAACAGCTGCCTGCTGTGCCTGAAAACAACACTTTGAAAGCAGGGAGGAGGAACCAAAGGCGTACATGTAGATTGCGGGTCCGACAGCTAAACAATGAGCTGAAACTCACAAAAAAAAGCACTGTGAAATCAAGGGAAGCTGCAGATCCTTGTGATGATTCTCAGTGGCTTCATCACTACGAGCAACACCGTTCACTTTGTGACATTGTTTTCACATTGTCATTTGATACTTTTATTATTAGTAAAATGATGGCAAGGCCTATAGCTGCTTTAAAATATGATAACATGTCTTCAAATTCAACTTTCCCCTAAATCTATGCCCATTCTGCAAATTATATCTTGTTTTTATCTGGGGTACTAGGTAGTTTTCTTCACATGTAAGAAGTTGCTGCATTGTTTCACCCCTTATAATGGATCCGAGTGTGCCTTTATATGGTGAAGCTTCACCAGGTCAACGTCATGAGTTACACTGTGTCAGCTAATTACAGCAGCATTATGCTTCTTGCATTATTTTGTCTGAAAAACTTTTTCAGACTTCTGCCGAGTTTCTGTTAATAAACAAACGGCTACATTAAACCTCATATTGCAGGAGAGAACCAGGAGCCCTTCAAGGACCCCTGGGGGCTCCGGGAATCCACTGGGAGCGAGTGATGTGGGGAATTGTTTGTTCCCTGTGATGCCACTAGATGTCCTAAAACCAAACACCAGCTGTAGCTGCTCATAGAGTATTTACAAGCAGTCCGTCTCCATCTGTTCACACCCAGTTTAATGGATAACAAGAGCCTACCGCTTCTGAATATTGATGGTTCACTCTGATGAATTAGCGCTTATTGATGCCGCGGTGCTTCGAGGAAAAAGCAATCATGTGTTGAGATCTGTGCGTCATCGGGACCCCCGGCGGCGGCGGCGTGTACGGCTTCTCCGTCGAGTCTCAGACCGGGAGGGAGCGGGTCAGTCGGTGCACTTAACGATCAACGATCAGCGCGTTAATTGAACCCCGTCGACCGACCCATCCGTTGGCGACCGGAGCGCCTCAACCTGGATGACCTCCGGTTTGACGGAGGGAGCAGCGCCGGAGGAGATGCGCATATCTGCAGGTACTCTAGCGCGGTCGTAAAACGGGAGTCCGGAGCAAGTCAGCCAACATTAAAGCGATGCCAGGGGTAACCAAGTACAATTTAGTGGATGACGCGCACGATTTGAGGATCCCCATGCACAACGACGAGGTGTTTAAGCATGGGGTCTGCTTCGAGGCAAAGGTAAGGACCCTCTGCAACAGATACTTTCTGGGTGGCAGTATGGGAGCGGTGGGTTGTTACTGTATGTGTCAAACGTTCAAATGAGGGCTGTTCATGTCACCGCTACTGTAACAACAACCACTATATATTGTATTTCATATGGGTTTATGTTGAGGGTGTATATTGACCTTACAATACTTTACATTTGTGTCCACTTTGCATGACTTTGAAATGTTTGAGATTGAATCATTTTGCCTCACCTGCATAGAGAAGTGTTGCTTTAACTGATAACTTGATGAATGCTGATGAATTTGTTTCCGTTATGTCGTTTTTGACAAACTTTTGATGAGTGTGGAAGAATCCTACATTTTACATTTCATTTGGCTTCTGGCACCCAGCAGAATGTAATGTTATAGAGCTGCAACATTTTCTCAATTGATAATCGAGTAATTGTCGACAAAGCATCAGAAAACTGTGGGAAATGCACATCACATTAAGCCCAAGGTGATGGTATCAAATGTCTTGATTTGTCCGACCAACAATTTTCATTTTGAGAGGCTGACGCCATCAAATATTTGATACCCTTCATGGAAAATTGATCAAAAAAGTAAATTTTCTGTGGATCGGCTGATCGACTAATCGTTGCAGCTCTGGCATGTAATGATTTCCTCATGCAGGAATATTTCCCAAAATGTCTGAAAAAGCTGTCGAAACTACAATAGCAATCAACACTCTGCCAGCCCAGCACTGCATGTAATCCATTCATTCCCTCAAACTGTCAATCTTTAAACCGTTCTCTTACATTTCGCAGTACATTGGCAGTTCAGAGGTCGGTCGCCCCAGCAGCCGAATGGAGATAGTCGCTGCAATGAGGAGAATCAGAGTAAGAAACTTTAAATGTGTGACCTCCCTGCACCAGACAGCTGAACTTGACTCATAGTGGCAACAGCAGTCTAAACACATTAACTGTCAGTCATTGATGCAGGTGCATGAACATTTACTCTTCCTCTCCTGTGTGTCATGTCTCACCTTGTGCACGGTGCTCAGAGGGTCCTCACTCGCCTCAACATCCTCTATACACACACACACAAATCACTAGTCTGCGTAACACACTCGGCAGATTCAGTGGCTTGTCAGCAGCAGTTTAAATCACGGCAACGATTCATAGGACAGCTCAGATTTTATGGCTGAGGAGAGATACAGCGTGCAGGTTTATATATATATGATACCATCTGAAAAAACGTCCGTTCTGGAGGCCGTCTTTAGACCAGACAAGGCCACAGGAAACACTGCAATGCCTTGTCATTTACACATCACTGCAGTGTTACAGTGAAGCGCAGGGAGGAGAGGATTTAGCTGCTTGTCAGCTGTTGGATCTAATCTAAGGACCAAGTCAGTCGGAGGTCGGCCACATCGCCAGCTACATCCAGGACGTAATCCTGATCCCTCATGTACAGTGCAGTATAATGGCCATTTGATTGTGCTGGCAAAGATTTAGTGATGCTGTTTGAATTTCCTCGCTTCGCATATGCTTCAGGAATCTCAACGATTTCAGATTTTCACAATTTTTCTCATAATGCATTATGAAAGAGCTCTTGATAGAGCAGCTCAAATGGGAAAATAAATGTACCCACACAATGCACAAGGTAATCCGAGGGCTGCTGAAAACTTTGATGGACAAAACTATATGTAATGCACCTTTTTTCATCTGTCCCTAAACTCATTTTAATTGAATGTCTTATGTTATCATGATTTCATCTGAAGACAAAATGCTTTTCTGCAAAGCTGTAAAGTAAAACATAATAAATGGAAGGAGACAAAAAAAATAGAAGAAAAGAAAATGCATTAAAAGACAAATGAATGCAAAATAAACAGCGTGGTGTTAGACGTGGGCAAGATTAAAGATGATAGCGTAAAAGCAAGTGTGTAAAAGAGTCGGGGGCTCTTTTGTGAGTGCGGTAATGGCGCAGCAATTAAGAGCCTCTCCTTGTGGGGAGACGGGTTCTGAATATTCAAAAGCTGACTCGTCCTTAAAGCACTCACAGTGGCTTAGAGATAAGGCGATATGAGGCGAGTTGGCACAACCTGTGGAGCATTAGTTATGCTTGGTGGCTGATGTGCCTGAAAATTGTATCTACATAAACACTTCCTGTGTTCCACTTCATCTCCGTTCGACAGCAGTGCGTGTGGAGATGGATGGTCCTCTCGTCCCAGTTTACATGTGGTTGCATTGGCCTGGATAACACACACACACACACACACACACACACACACACACACACACACACA